TAGCCGCTTGAGTCACAGGCGCCGAGCCGATAATATATTTTTAATTAGCTCACCAGAAAGGTTGAGCCAATTTGACACATCCACCACCAACTTATGAGTAGACCTATTTTCCTAGACTCTAGCCAACATTTGTCCTTAAATGTACCAATTAGATAGGTTTAAAGATATTACACTGTTAATTTGTGTTTCTTTGATTTGTGCTAAATAAAGCATATTTGCATATATTTCTTGGTTATTTGTTTTCTTCTTTTGCATACAGCCTTTGCCCATTTTTCTACTTGGGGGATATGCCTCTCCTTTACTTATTGACTTATAAGATTTACTTACATATTAAAGATGCTATGATAGGAACTGGCTAACTGTTTGCCTAACTCCTTTCTTTTTCCTGGGCATAAGAGTTTAATTTTTCTCCCCATAGAATTTATATTATTATGTATAACTTAAAGAGAACAATGGGCTTAGTGCCCGTAGTTCAGTGTTATAGCACCAGCCTCATACACTGGGCATGGCAGGTTCGAGCCCAATGTGGGCCTGCTAAACAACAATAACAACTACAATAAAAAAAAAATAGCCAGACTGTGTGGCAGGTGCTTGTAGTCCCAGCTACTTGGGAGGCTGAGGCACAAGAATCACTTAAGCCCAAGAGTTTGAGGTTGCTGTGAGCTGTGATGTCATAACACTCTACTGAGGGCAAAATAGTGAGACTCTGTCTCAAAAAAAAAAAAAGAATAAAAAAATACATAAATAAAAGACAACAATGAAATAGACATTTCAAAGTTGTTTGTAATTCAAGAAATAATTTATAAAGTTCATCCTTTAAAAAATCCAATTTGACAAATACATAGTGATTACTAACTTATGTGCCAGCTGCTAAGGAATATAAAAAGGAATTATGCTTAGTTCTTGGCCTCAAAGGGAACAAAGTCTACTGCTGGATTCTGATTTATATCTAGATAAAAATAACCTGTCATTTGGGGATATTCTAATAGCAAAAGTTCTATAGGAAGAAGGTTGAAATAGGATGATTGCTTGAGTCCAGGAGTTTGAGGTTGTTTTGAGCTAGACTAACGCCATGGCACTCTGGTACTCTAGCCCAGGTGACAGAGTGAGATTATGTCTCAAAAAAAAAAAAAAGTTCTATAAAAAACAATAAAGTAGGTTTGGTGCCTGTGGTTCAAGTGGCTAAGGTGCCAGCCACATACACCTAAGGTGGCGGGTTCGAATCCAGCCTGGGCCCGCCAAACAACAATGACGGCTGCAACCAAAAAAAAAAAATAGCCGGGCATTGTGGCGGGCGCCTGTGGTCCCAGCTACTTGGGAGGCTGAGACAGGAGACTCACTTGAGCCCAGGAGTTGGAGGTTGCTGTGAGCTGTGATGCCACGGCACTCTACCCAGAGGGACAGCTTGAGGCTCTGTCTCAAAAAAACCCCCAAAAAACAAAAAATGAAGTAATGAAGTATAGAGGAAAGAATGTAGGTTTTGAAGTAGTAAACATAAAAATAGATGAAATATACTGTAGATAATATCCCAGTAAGAATGTACTATCAGGTACATGGCTGTTTAGTTACTTCTAAACCATTTAATCTATAGGTTAAATAGTGCATATTATGAAGAACAAAAGTCTCTGGCTCTATAACAAATAGAATAGTATAATGGAAAGACATTAGATGAGGAATCAGGAGAAATGGGGTCTAATTTCATTATTGTGTAGTGAAAACAGAATGTAGGCTGGTCAATTAACCTCTTTGGGCCTTGGTTTTCTCAATGGGAAAATGCTAGGTTAGAAGACATTATCTCAAAGGCTCTGTATACCTCTAGGTTAATATTATAAGTGCTATAGCTATAATTTTTTTCCTGGGGTCCTGTTTTATCTTGTATAAAACATTAGCTAACATTTGTTTTTCTAGCACATAGAGACTTTAAAGACAAGTGCACAATGCATTTTAAAATTATTTAAGATTTTTAGATTTTATATTGAATTACAGAGTGATCAAAACAATGCTTCTTTATTGGAAGGTAATACATAATTTATTTTACCTGCCAGAGTGTGAGAAATGAAGAATTTTCTGTTATTAGTGAATGGGTATTGAGCATCAGTGTCAGGACCTGCCATGATTTAAATCTTACCTGTGCCTATAAATACTGCAGCTTATATCCTTCCTAGGGTAGCATTTTAATGTTCTTCTTTGGAATATGTTTATGTTAGCAGCAAAAGTGTGGTGAAGAGTGTGATTGAGAAAAATAAGTGTTTTTAGGGAAAATTAATACTATAAGAGCTTCATTAATGAATAATAATAGCACAGTCCAAATACTGCCCCACTTATGTGTAAACTATTCATAACTAGAAATGTTCGTTCATTAAACACTTCTTTAAAAAAGTATGTAGCACTGGATTTTGCATGATGTTTGTTTGTGAGAGAGACAGAAAGATTATTTCTTAGTTGGGAAGTATTTTCTTTGCTAGACATAGTGGCTCATGCCTGTAATCCTAGCATTTTGGGAGGCTGAGGTGGGTAGATTGCCTGAGCTTAGGAGTTCAGGACAAGTACGAGCAAGAGCGAGATTCTGTCTCAAAAAAATAGCAGGGTGTTGTGGTAGGCGCCTGTAGTCCCAGCTATTTGGGAGGCTTAGGCAAGAGAATCATTGAGCCCAAGAGCTTGAGGTTGCTGTGAGCTATGACACTACAGCACTCTACCCAGGGCGACTAAGTGAGACTCTGTCTTAGAATATATATATAATATACATGAAAAATATATAACATATATAATATATAAAATCTATATTATATAGAAAGTATATATAATATATAAATATATGATAAATATATATAATAAATATATAATACATAAAATGTATAGATGTATATATATTTTCTTTTCTTTTTTTTTTTT